CAGCAAACATCACCCAGTATGAGTGATGCTTACTGGTTAACTCATTAACCATTCAAATGCCTAATAGACACAGACGGAACTGAACCACATAGTGCACTGGCTTAATCAGAAGAGCTGGAATGGAGCTGGGCAGGCCTGGGGCAAGCCAGCCTCAGTTGCTAAGGAGACCAGCCTACACTGGAACCACCTGATTCCCCTAGAAAGGGCAGCAGGGAGCTGCAGGGGTGGGTGGGGGATGGAGGCTCTGGGAGAGACAGCGCAATGGTGCGAAATGGCTGAGCAGGAAGACATTTGTATTAATTTGTGCACTTCCTGTGAATAAAGTCAGACACACAGGAGAGCTGTGGTCATGGACTGATGAAAGCCTGCGTGGAGTGTAAGAAGCCCCTTGCAGGGGGAACTGAGGCGAGGTCTCACTTGCAGGCCTGCCCTGAGGCCACAAGGGGACGCTCAGGAGGCCAACAACTGTGGAAACAGCTGGGTAGTTAAAAAGCACGACCTTTATATCCTTAGGCTGTGGGCTTTTGGCAGCCGTTTTCTCTCCTCCCTGAAGTGTGACATGCCAGCTGGGCACAAGAAGATAGCCATGAGTACACAAGATCTGGAAGGCCAACTGTGTGTAACTGTCCTGCATGTGCACAGGAATGACAGGGAAACATTCAGGGTTTTACAGCGTTCTAGAGCGTCCTAATCCCAAAGCCAATACCACAAGCAGGTCTGATTTTGAAGTGATTACGCTGCAGTCAAACTGCAGCTTGTCCGTTAGGGCCTGTCTACACTGCCAGAAAACACCCAAGGCAGCTGGCTTGAGCTGCAAGGCTATAAAATTAGTGAAGACTTTCAGGCTTGGTCTGGAATCCAGGTTCTAGAGCACACAAGAAGCGGAGGGTCCCATAGCCTGGGAACCAGCCTGAGCCCAAACCGCTATGCTGCAATTATAGAGCCCTGCAGCTTGAGCCTCATGAGCTGGAGTCAGCTGACTCAGGCCAGCTGTGAGCTTTACTGCAGCATAGGCATCCCTTGCCTCAGCACAAATCTCACTGTCAGCCAGGAGGATCCCTCTCAGCACAGCTTGTGCTGTCTGCAGAGACTGCACTTGGGGAGAACACAGCATGTTATTGAAATACAGCTTGAACCTCTCTGGTCTGGCACCCTCCGGACCTGATCGGTTCTACACCAGAGAATTTGCTGAACCCCGGGAGATCACTATTGTTTTGCAGCATTACCAACACTGCCACTGCTTACTGGGCTGTTGGAAGACATGTTGGGGGTAAATTAGAGCTAAAGAACAGCACAGAACATTGAGAGCCAGGACTGGTGGCTGTAAAGAAACTATATGGGACCATAGGAAATTTGGCCACACCACGGTAAGTGGAGAACCAGCTAACTAAAATCATACCAGATCACAGATGTTGCCAGACCAGAAAATGCAAGACTAGAGATTTGACCTGTACCAGAAATTCAGCTCACTGCTCTGAATCGATGTCTCAAGGGAATGGGCTTATGCCATCTGCTGCTCTCAATTTTTTGTTCAGATCAGGATTAACCATATGTCATATGCCTGCACAGCTGCAAACTCCCCACTGTCTGTGTGGTAAGGTCAGATGCAGTGGTATGCGACACCAACTTCCTCGGCCCTGGGATCCACGTCTGGCAGGTCTGTGGGAAACGACTTTGAGTGTCTCCCTAGACATGCTCAGCCATTCAGGAAAATATTTTTACAAAAACAAGACACAATGCGACAGCCTAACTGATGCAGAAAATCCCCAGTGTGGCTAGCTCTTTGGTGAGTCCTTCTGGAGAGAAGAAACAGTCTGTCTGCCAGCAAGCTTATCCTGTCCACACCCAGATCACTAGCTTGTTGATTGGTGGGGCTTTGGTCACCCTATTGAAAACATTTTTCGATTGAGGCGGGCCGTATATCCTGATCCTCCCCAGGGGCTCAGGCAGGGAGATTGCCAGTAAAATCAGTGTGCAGGTGCATTGTTCTCTGAGGTGTCGCTGTGGGTGAATTTCCCTGTTTGCCAGGGGTCAGCACGGGGTTTTCTCTGCTACTTGGGATGTTGTAGGAACTGCCAACTAGTCTTTAGACTAGCTATAGGCACAAACTTAGTTCTGAGAACTGAGCTAGAAAACTGCCCAGTTTGCTGTACTGCTGTTGAAATCCTTCGGTGTGCATGTGCTCCTTGCCCATGTTGTAACCAACCTATCGGCACTGAGGACGTCACAAATTGTCCATGAGAGCTGACCACTGAGAACGTCCCAGTTGGAGCAGGGATGGAACTCTGTCTGGGGGAGGGCAGCAGTGACAGACACTAGCCAGCTCATTCTGGTGCACTACTTTTAATAGCTGGTGTAAATCCAAACATACTTCATGTGAGAAACTCTCACCTAAAAGATTCCGTGCGAGACGAGAGCCACAGATGTTTTACTGTCTAGCTATCTGCATATATATACAGTCCTGCACAATTATAGTTAAGGGTGACCCAGGTAACAGAGAGCTGGCGTCAAAACCCCCACTGCACATACAGAAACACTTTGCATGCTTGCAGGGACTCCAACCTGCTTGCAATGCAGCCAGGCCTCAGGACTCTGAAAGGACTTCTGTATTGTCTAATAGGTTGGCTGCACTTTTCATATGTAGACCCCATTACAGTGTCTAAGGTTGCACTGTTGATATCTTTGTGACTTCCTTGGAGCACCCCACTCAGAGCTCAGACCTCTGGCCACCACCTTTCTCAGGGTGGGCACCTGTGTTCCTTTCCCTCTAGGCCAGGGATCCTTCTGCCCGCCCTTATCACATCAGTGAATCTGAGGACCTGATGCCCTTTTTTCTGTCCAGAGCAATGCTGGGAGTGCAGTGACCCACCGGCTTTCACAAAGTGCACTCTTTGTTTAGAACAAAAGCACTCTAGCAGAGAAAAATGTGTCTTGGAAACTAGACAGCTGGTCTGAAAAGCTGTCTAGCCAGGCGTGATCTGTCTTCCTCACAAAGACTCTGGCAGGATCTAGAGTCCTTCACACCCTCTTGCTCTGTGTCATGTCAGTTCCTGGGTCCAGCGAGTGACCTCCCATCAACAACAGGTTGCCAGTCCGACACTTCTCAGTTCTCTATCTGCTCCCCACTCACACCCCGTCAAAACCAGCCAGTGTCCTGCAAGGGCTGGGTCATCTACAGCCTTGTTACTGTTCAGCGATTTGCATTATTTGCCCCACCCGATTTTAATTCCTAAGAGTTGGCTGATGCTTCATTTGACTTCCCCTCACTTGCTGCATGGTTAGTCTTCTTTTAAGAAAAATTGCTCCCTTCCCTCCCAGCCAACCCACAATATGAAACGAGAGCAGAAACCGATCATGCTGTTTTTCATAAAAATCTATCCAATGTTTCCCAGTTTTCCACAGCAGTTGGCCTATGCATTCAGATGGGGAGGAATAACCAGAGACATCACGGGGGCAGTGCAGGGGGCAGGCACTTATTTTCTGTGTATCTTAATGAATTGACATGATTTTTGCTCATCGATCTTAACGTACTTGATTTTGAGTGAGAGGCATTTCTGCCTGTCCTGGTTTTGCCATAGAGTCCTTGCCACAAGCCCAATTTTTCTCACTTGAGAACAGCTCTACTGAAATCCAGAAGGGATGGAAAGGGTTAACTGGTTAACTGGTAAGCATTGCCTTACCAGCATGCCTACCTGTTAACCAGCATCCAGCTGGAGCAGCCCCCTACCTGTGGCACACCATGGGCAGGGGGATCTTCCAGCATAGCTGGGCCCATTGCATGACAGGAGGAGGGCTGCTCCAGTCCATGGCAGGCAGTTAACTAGTTACGTGGGATTTTACATCCCTACGATCAGCGAGGTGACTCAGGTACATCAGTGAGCAGAATGTGGCCCCGTGCATGCCAGCAATAACTTGTTTTCTCAGTGAGCAAAACTGGCTCCTAGCATTCAAGAGCAAAGGGCTGTAGGAATAAGGGATACAAACCCACTCCCCCCCAAACAGTAATGTGTCTGAGTGCTCTGAGGAGTCAAAATCCTGGCGACTAGCTTTCTATTTCACTGTGGCTCCTCTCCCTCTTGCTCAGTGTTATCTTAAGTCTCACAATCCTAAAAATGTAGGGCTGCAGGGTCCTCTCTCCGTCTCTCAGCACCGAGGCAGGAAGACTGCACATTCTCACTGTGTCACAGGTCCTGGAAGTTCTCTTTCAATGAGTGTAACATCCAGCCTGTCTCTGATGCTGAGCCGGAAGTGCATGCCTGCGGATCTCTCCTTTGTTTAGGCAGGAGACAGAATGCGAGAACTGGATTCGTTTTCAGGGAAGGTGTCTCCTTATAGGGCAAGACCTCGGATGCTACTGGAAACATCCATGATGAGTTACGGGCCTGTCTGGCTCCTGGGGAGGCTGTTTGTGGGGCTTCCAAGGGCTGGGTAACCCTTTGGCTTTGTTGCTTTCAGCGGCTGTGGAAGCCTCCGTCCTGCATGGCCTGAAGCGGAGAGCAGCAGGGTTCTTGCGCAGTAACAAGATAGCAGCCCTGTTCATGAAGGTGGGCAGGAGCTTCCCTCCCGCAGAAGAGCTTTCTAGAAAGGTCCAAGATCTGGAACAGCTCATCGAGAACACGTAAGGCATTTGCCACTGTCTTGGGCTGCCTGGAGGCACCCATGCTGGGCGGAGACTTGGGCTGCAATATTCAAACATGGCGGCCCGAAGTTAGGCACCAAAATTCCTGCTTTGGCACCTCCCCAAGAGCCTGATTGTCAGAGGTGCTGAGGCCAATGGGGGTTTGAGACGCTTGGCATGAATCAGATGCCCACCAGTAAGCACCCCTGTTTGAAAATCCTGCCTCTCAGGGAGGAGCTGGGGCCAGGCCGGAGGTATGGTGCCCAGGGCGTTAACAGGCTGGCTGTTTTCAGGATTCTCAGTCATGACAAGATCAGTAACGTTCCCCAGAAGTTGGTCCTGAGGGATTTACAAAGATGCTGTTCAAAGCTCTTAGACTGGACTGAAACGCATGCTTTTCTCAGCAAGGCACGGGAGCCCCTTGGGTCTCATGTTGGAAAAGCGATGTAGGAGCCCAAATCCCAGAGCCTTGCAATGAGCTGTAGGTCCCACAGTGACTGAGCCACATTTCAAAATGGAACTTGGAGACCTATATCACTTTAGTACTTGACTTCCGTAGGATTGACGGGCTTGCTTATGTGTCAGCTTGGCACAATTAAATTTTTATTTATTTTATCTTTACAGTGGATAGTATCAAGTTTTATTTCAAAGCATTTTTAATTTTAAATTTTCATGGTTGTGGGAAATTATGGGGGGAATAGACAATAATCAGTTAACACCCGTAGGCATTAAGACTGATGAGGTTATAACTTTATTACCATTGAAACACACTATTTTGATGTGACATTGACAAAGTAAATAGCCAGAGTCAAAAAAGAGGACACTGGGGCTACATCTAGACTGCAAGCCTCTTTTGAAAAAGAGCGTCTAGACAACAACAAGCATTTTCAAAAAAAGCAAGCTGCTTTTTTGAAAGAGAGCACCCAGGCAGTCTGGATGCTCTCTTTCGGAAAAGCACAGTTTGCATTATATAGTGCCTTTTTTCGAAAGAGCACTCTTGAAAAAAGGCATTATTCCTCGTAAAACGAGGTTTTCCATGGTCGAAAAAAACTGCCATATTCTTTCGATTTGCTTTTGAGAAATTTTTTTAGAAAAAAAGGCCACTTTTTTTTTAAAAGACCCTGTATTCTAGACACACCCTGGGATAGATGGACCATTGCTCAGATTTCGTACGGTCTTATGCTTTAAATCAAACTCTAACACGTTCTCAAACCACATTTTTCTTTCTTTGTCTCTCTGTAAATGTTGGTGATTATTGTTGGAAATAGTTTTCCATGGGTTTGTGAGCACAGTGAAATTGATGTTTACCAACATGGACCGATAAAAATCGGATCCTTCCAAGCCTACTTTGTCCTTGGCTGAATCAGGACCTAAGTCAGCAGCTCTTTTGGGGGTTTCTTTGTATTGTGCCTCAGTTCTCTTCATTTATAACTGGCCTTTTACTTTAACAAGGTCACATCTAAACACTCTGACATAGGTCTCCCAGGAAAGGAGCAGCAAGGAGAGCGTAAGGATGAGATGAAGGGCTCTGTTACCAAACGATGCTCCAAGCACATGAGGACTTTCCCGTAGGCTTTACCCTCTGGGCTGCCAAGACGGGACAGTTCAAGTCCTAGCAGCACATCCACTCAGGGAAGGGCTAGTGTGCCAGCTCTGCACTCATGGAGCAGGGCACACATTCCACCATCGCTCAGCTTGCTACTTTGGTTTGGAAAGTAAGTCTGCAGTATTGTTCTGCCTTGTGTCTCTGAAGCCGAAACCAGGTACCAGGCCTTCAGGAGAACGTACGCAAAGTGCAGAAGCTGCCGAACCTGTCTCCCCAAGCCATCAAGCATCTCTGGATCCGCACAGCCCTCTTTGAAAAGGTCCTGGACAAAATCGTGCATTACCTGGTAGAAAACAGCAGGTGAGGACTGGTGTGGGCCAACTGTTTCCTTTCCCATAAAGCCAACACCCAAGGAAGGGATGGCTGACTTAGTTTTCCTGTGCCTGGCTGGACAGAAGGCATCACAGGACCAGCACATTTTTTTTCTTGCAGCTCAGCACATGTCCCAGGATCTGAAATGTAGACCCTCTTCTTAGTGGGATGGTCAAGGCTTGGGACTCAGTGATCCCTTGCATCCCGCCCTGACATGGAGGCAGTTATGTCGGATTCCAGTTTGGTGCTAGGCTCACAGGATTCCCTTGGTCTTTGAGTCCTTATGCTGTCAGCGAATGAATGACAGGTGTCAGGCTCTGCCTGGACATCACTTATGCTAGAGACCATTCTGGAAGCTCCATTCGTGGAGGCCTTCCTGACCACTGGGGCTCCTAATGGGTTGGTTTGGGCCCGGCAGGGGGCTGGTACAGATGGTGTCAGATGGAGATGGAGGCTGGGGGAGGACTGCCTAATTCTGGAGAAGTAGCACCGCCTGCGATGACTAGAGCCCTATACGGATACAAAATTTGTTTCCACCTTCATAAAAATGAGCCATGGATATCCAAATTGACATCAGTGGATTCAGATACCAGTGGAGATAAAGCGGATATCTGCACATTTGCCCGGTTCTAGATAAAAGATTTGTATCCACACCCGTATCTGCAAAAATGAGCCTGGATGGATGCGGATACCCAAGGATATAAAGCGGTATCTGTGGATTTGCAGAGCTCTAGCTATGACCTCCTGTCCTTTCTCATCAGCAATAATGTATGTGTGGCAGCGTACCGAGGAGCAGAAAGAATAGGGCAATGTATGGCTAAAATCATCCTCTGTCATTTAGCATGTCTGCCAGCGACACCATTTTTTTTTCTTCTAGTAAATACTATGAGAAAGAAGCTCTCCTGATGGATCCTGTAGATGGGCCAATTCTTGCTTCCTTGCTGGGTAACTTTATCCTTTAACCTACTCTCAGAGCTGACTTTGCAGGCAAGACACTTCTTCCCCCCCAATGGCCCTGCATGCTCGCAATACCATCTTTTCCTGAGAACTTTACAGATTTTTAAAAGGTCTTGCCACATCTGGGGTGGGCAGATTGAATTAATAGAATCCTAGAACACTAGAATTGGGAGGGACTTCAAGAGGTCATTGAGTCCAGTCCCATGCTCTCATGGCAGGACCAAGCACTGTCTAAACCATCCCTGATAGATGTTTGTCTAACCTGCTCTTAAATATCTCCAGTGATGGAGATTCCACAACCTCCCTAGGCAGTTTATTCCAGTGCTTAATTGCATGAGTACATTTAAAAAGAACTGTTACCAATCCCTAAATAATTCCCAACTGCTCGGCGTTGGAGTATGCTGAATGTCTGCTTCCATTGGTTCTCTTAGCTATTGAACAATGAACATTAATGCATCTTCCATGCCCCCACATTCTATTTTAAAATGAAGACTTGGAAGGGATCAGTAACCTAAGTGTAGCATTGAAAGGCAGAACGGAACCTGGGACCTCTGGAACTTAGTGCATGAGCCGCTACAGCTTGAGTTAAAAGCCAGCTTGCTCTCATTCTCTCTCTCCGTATGTGGTCTAAGTGCCACTACATGGGACAGTATGTGTGTAGAATACATATGCACTGCTGGCTGGTCACCCTATAGCCCAGCCTGAATAGGGGCCCTCTGCCCCTGCATAGCCCTTGGTGCAGGCCAGGAATTGGGCTATGTCTCTCAGAGTCACATTCGAGTTCCTGGGATGCACCTTCTCTGGTTCCAAATGTCAGAGTCTTAGCATTTGGCACAAGGATCCCAAGGGGAAAAAGATTGCCCTTTGCTTGGTTTGTAAATCTCCTCCCTGCGCAGTGGGACCTTGTGCACTGGAGTATACAAAGATGAAGACGGCGGATCATTTCTGGACAGACCCTTCTGCTGACGAACTCGTTCAGAGGCATCGCATTCACAGCTCGCACTGTCGCCAGGACTCTCCTACCAAGCGCCCTGCCCTCTGCGTGAGTGTCGGAGGATGGCGGGGGTGGATTGCTTCCCATGGTGGTGAGCAGGGATAGAGTTGGGTAGCATTGAAGCTCCTTGAATTGACCTGCAGAGTTCACTGAGCTCTGCAAACGAAAGAGGCCAGAGAAGTGTAAATTAACAATAGTGGTAACAGGATCTCTCTGGCTGGATCCAGAACTCAGCCTCTGGAGTCTACAGACTGCATGGAGCATTCTGGGATCTCTGTGGGTGGCCACTGAAATAAAAAATGAAGGCAGCTGCCATCTGCTGCATTTAGTGCAAATTAAATATAGCCCTGGGGTTTCCATTGGTTCAGGGCTGACTTTGGCTAGTGTCAAACTGTTGACCTAGACAGAAAAAAAAAAAGGTGTCACCGAGTCCTGGAATCCAATCTGTAGTCTGATGTGACTCTCAGCTGGCAGATAGAACAGAAGGCTTGTTAGTTCACAGGGAGACATTGTAGAACAGACTTGCCAGCATAGTAACCAGAAGCAGCCAGTACAATCTATTTTAGGGAGAGGGGACCCAAACCCAGTGCCCTGACTCTCTCCCTGCACCCCAAGTCAACCGAGACCCCCCAACAAAGCTGCCTGGAACCAGCCCCCAGCCACACTCTTCTCCAGCCTTTGTTCTGATTCTGGGGAAAAAGGTCTCATCTGGTCATATCCTCCTCCCAGGCTCAAATTTTGATGGACATCAGCCATGGTGTATGTAGGGGAGACTGTCACATGAAATTCCCATCACCGTCTAGGTATTGGTGCAGTGCCCAGGGAAACTGAGGCACACGCTCAGGGTTACTACAGGACAGTAAAACTTACATGGAACGTCACAAGGTGAATACAATCCCCACTTCATCACAAGAGGAAAGAGAATGACCATCCTTGCTGTGATATGCCGAAAGCCCCTCTGGGTGCTGGGTTAGTCTAGGGCAGGAGCAGGTCACAAAGCTATCCTGTGCTGGTCCCTTCTAGATTCAGAAAAGGCATTCGAGTGGCAGCATGGATGACCGGCCGTCACTGTCTGCCAGAGACTACGTGGAGTCTTTGCATCAGAATTCCAGAGCCACACTACTGTATGGCAAAAACAATGTCCTGGTGCAGCAGGTAAGTAAGCCACGGTGCTCTCATATGGCTAGCGGGTCTGTGTGTTGCCAATTGTGTACATACAGACACCATGTGAAGGTGGCGGTACGCAGTGTGAGTGTGTATTTACGCATGCACGCCTGGGTGTGTATGGGTACATGTGAGCACCATTGGTGCCATTTCAGATTTTGGTGGGTGACCTGTGCATGCCATGATGTGGGGGGAGAGTGAGAGCATGAGGGGGGGACTGAGGACAGAGGTTTCAGCAGTGGGACTGAGCATGCTCAGTACAAACCAAGCATCAAACTGGGGAGAAGGGAAACCAAGCCCACTTGCCCCCCCTCCCCACCATCATCTTTATCCAGGGGTTACCAAAGCTCTGGAAAACTCTAATTTTTTGGCAGGGAACTTAGCAGTTAGCTGACAGGAGCACTGTACCTAAGTCCTATACATCAGAAAGAAAATTAAAGAAATATTAGACCCACTTAGCTCTAAGACTATCATGATCTGACATCTTATGGCAAGTCAGGACACTGGTTAGTCTTAAATTTTACTATATATTCTTATTTTGTTACTAACTCTGTGGGGAGAGAGAGATCTTGTTAGGACGTTCTTTCTGCTCTGAAACAGGAGTGGGGTCTAGTGGGTTATAGCAAGAGGCAGATACATTTCAGCTCTATATAAGAACATTGGAATGGCCATACTGGATCAGACCAAAGGTCCATCTAACCCAGTGTCCTGTCGTCCCATAGTGGCTAATGCCACGTGCTTCTGAAGGAATAAATAGAAGAGGCAATTATCATAATCCATGTCCTGTTGCCTATTCTGTTTATTTTAAATCTGCTGCCTATAAATTTAATTAGGTTAGCTTCTTGTGTTATGTGAGTGAAGGAATGAATAACATTTCTTTATTCTATTTTACCACACCATTCATGATTTTCTAGACCTCTGACATATTCTCCCACCCTTTAATCATTTCTTTTCCAAATTGAAAAGTCCCAGTCTTGTTAATCTCTCCTCATATGGAAGCTGTTTCTTACCCCTCATCATTCCTGTTGCCCTTTCTGTACCTTTTCCAAATTCACTATATCATTCTTAGATGGGATGATCAGACCTGCATAGAGTATTCAAGATGTGGGCATACCATGACTTTATACAGAGGCAATATGATATTTTATCTTATTATCTGTTCTTTTCCTAATGATTCCCAATATTCCGTTAGCTTTTTAGTTTTTAGACTGCCACTGAACATTGAACAGATGTTTTTAGGGAACTATCCACAAGTATTCCAAGATCCCTTTCTTGAGTAGTAACAGCTAGTTTTAACCCCATCATTTTTGTATCTGTAATTAGGATTATATTTTCCCACGTGCATTACTTTGCACTTATCAACCTCTGCCCTTGTGTTGCCCAATCACCCGGTTTTGTGAGATCTCCGTGTAACTCTTTGCAGTCAGCTTTGGATTAGTCACTGTTCACCCCTTTTTCAAGAACATTTATGAGAAGTTTAACAGTAGCGGTCCAAATGCAGATTCCTGCAGCAAAACACTCATTCCTACTCTTACCCATCCCCCATCTTTTAAGTGGAGTATCCGGCAATGTTTTCATGATGATCTAACGATCCTTCAGTTGCCTGAATGCCCAGCCTTTTGTTATTCTTAATCACCTGCCTCCCTCTTTTTATAACAAACTCCCTGCACCAAAGGCAAAGCTGCAAGCAGCTCAAATTCTGCTGCATTTAAGAACAGCCTCTGGAATCAGGGCATGGACTTTAAGCAGACCTTAAGTATGAAATGCAGGAGTTCAAACTTGGGAGAGGGCTATTGCCCCCTTGTCCCCCCAAAATGGCATCCTTGGTCAGTGTTCCCTCTAAGATTTTTCATCCGATAGCCAAAGTGAATTTTGTTTTGTGCTCCAATATTAATGGCATGTGCGCTTCTTCAGATGTGTGCCATTGTGACACCCATCAGTTATTAACAATAATATGTATATATATTGTTATGGAAGAAAAAAATACTAAAAGAAGGGATAATTAACAATGTGTGTGACCCTGCACACACACACCCTGAAAACCACCCTGCTTAGCACCAAATCTCCTTCCCATCCAGCCTTGCTCCTACTGCTTCTGCATCCATGGACTCTCCAACCCCTGAACCTCTATCCTGTGCATGCTTTACCACTCAGCCAGTATTGTGCCTCTTTTGCCCCTATCTTCTGCATAATGCCCCCTTCATCCCAACCCCTGCACTTTTCTCCCAGCCCAATCCAGTCAAAGTAAATAGTAAAGCATAAAAAATGACTGCATCGTCCCTCCCCATTGACTCTACAAGCTCATTCTGCTGTTGCAAGTTAATGACCTTCAGAAAATGAGTTTAGGGATATCACCAGAAAATTTCATCCAGTTCTTTTTCTTTAGTTCACATTACTACATGGTAAACAGAACACAGTCTAATTACTGATTATATTTCTTATAATATCTGCATGCTTTAGACTCTGGGCATTGCAGAAAAGTCCCTTTAATATGTCATCATCAACTCTATATTGATCTTGCATCAAAATAATCTATATTCATTAAGACGTTTTTAGATGCCTATACACTGTGTGTGTGTGAGAGAGAAAGAGAGAGAGAGAAAAAAAAATTCTGAATTTGCACATTTGTTTTTTCTTCCTTGAGTGTAGCACTTTATATTTGTCCTTGCTGTATTTTGGATCTATACCCCAGGTCTCTAATTTATCAAGATCCCTTTGAATTTTAGTTCTATCCTTCACTATATTTTCAACCCTGCCCCTGGCTACCTTTCTGTTACCTGCAAATTTGATTAATACGCTCTCATTCCCACATCCAGGGTCAGTACTAAAGATAATAAACACCACCAGACCCAGAATAATCCCTGTGCAACTCCATAGGAGACCGCCTGCCAATCTGACATTGTCCCATTTATAGCTCCTTTTTCCAAACACTAGAAAATTCAGCAGTTGCCATCAGTTAGCACAGTGTTATTTGAGGTAGCACAGTCATCTCATGCCCAATGGTAACTTTTGGCAAACGTTGATTTTTTTTTAATGGGGAGCATTGTGACAGAGACAAGAGACATGTCTTCTCTACCAACAGAGGCAAATGACATGAGGCTATCAACAGAAAACTCTGCTTGCTACTTAAATACAGATTCATGCAAATGGCTTGTTAAGTAAATTGGTATCTCATCAAAGTGAATGAAACAAAGCACCTTTTATAGTAATGACTAAACTTATGGGGGTTCAGTGAGTTGGTTCTTTCTCCGGGAGGCTCTATGTTGTGTTCCAGAACCTCAACTTTGATTAAAAAATAAAAAAAGCTCTAGCCTTAATGATTCCAAAGATACCCTGGCAAAATAAACTACAGGTTGTACCTCCCTGGTCTGGCACTGTTGGGGCTTGAGTGGTTCCAGACCAGGGAATTTGTTGGACCAGGGGAGGTCAATGCACCCTGGTCTCCACGTTTGCTCCTAGCCACACTGCTGCTTGGAGCTCTGCTCTCACATAGGGGAGGGAGGCTTTGCTAGTCCCCTATCCTCCTATAGTGCCGCTGTCACCCTGGGCTCTGTTCCCCCCACAGGCTCTGATATTACCTGGGAAAGCTCTGTGTTCTCCCCAGCAGCCTCACTGCAGCTCAGGACTCCCATGCTCTGCCTGGGCTGTGTGATGGCTGCACCTGGGCTGGGCTGTGGTGCTATTT